GAGTGTTCTTTCTGGTTATAGAGTATTTTGGATGGCAAGTGAGTATATATACTGTATATATACTATGTGTGTGTGTATGTAGGTGTAGACATCATATAGCCTCCATCAGGGTACGCAGTATAAACACAGCAACACAGATATTGAGAAGAGGAAGTGCCAGTGACACATGACTAACAGAGCATAACATTAGCTGTCACATCCAATAGATCTAGTGACTCCAGGCAGAAGGTGTGTTCTTTGTGTGTGTGTGTGTATGTGTGTGTGTGCTGCGTGCTGGTTAAAAGGGGACACGCAAGTTTCCGGTGGACATGTCATGTGTTTGTTTGTCCTTCACGAAAAGACAAGAGCTGTACAAATGCGTATGGACGTGTTCAGATGAGCGCAGGGAGTGGGCACCAGCTGTTTTGTCATTAATAGGGAAAACCTTCTGTCCTGGTCGTCATGGCAGCAAGAAACAAACAGCCCCATTCGGTTCCAATTGGCGATAAATGCTGCTGAAGGATGGAGGAGAATGGGGAATTGTCAGTGTGTGTGTTTGTTTGTGTTGTAGATAAGAATGAGGGAGACATGAAGAAGGGCTGGAAGAACACCAGATGACACCAAGTGGCAGGAACCATAGTTGAAAGTCGTATTGACATTAGATGTCAATGAGCTGGGGTTTTTGGTTTCAGTGATAATTTTGATTATGTGGTAACAGTACGACTGTCAACTTTTATCTGATGGATCACAGTGTACAATAATTATCCTGAATGTGAAAATAAATAATTAACAATAATTATCCTGAATGTGAAAATAACAAATAACAGCAGGTGGATGTATGCGTTTCACACCTGATTTTATTTGGGACTAAACTATTAAATATCAAGAATACGTACATGCTGCTGTATAACTCATATTGTTATACAGTTGTTCATCTTCCTTATTTGTTAGTTGCAACTATCAAATGTCAATGAAGCCTTGTTAACAATATTAATCTGTGTCTGTCAACTTGTCAGCTGTTGAAGTTGAAGAACGAGAGTTCACACGCTGGGTGATTGTTTGGTTTTTTTAAGCCTTATGTTAAGCTGAAGTTTTAAATAGATTGGGTTGAATAACTTGTTCTTAACAATAACATTGTCTTTTCTCCTTTTTCATAGTCAACTTCGACCACTTCCAGATCTTGAGGGCTATAGGGAAAGGGAGTTTCGGAAAGGTAAATTCAAAGTGTTGCAGTTCACGGAATGGTCACCATGTTTCAAAAGATGTTACAGCAGAATGAAAAAACTGTGAACCGTGAATCGGTCTATGACACGGTGCCACGTGATCCCTGCATTTACAGTGTATTCATGCAATTACCTTATGTTACTCAAACAGGAAGTGACTTGAGTCATATTTCCTGACTCTTCCAAGGAGAAAAACCAACTGCATCGCTTGTACGTGTATACAGTGACACACACACGCACAGTTATGTGTACACAAGACTGTGTGCTCCACTAGATAAGCAGTCTAATCACAGTAGATGGCAAGCTGTTCAATGGAAGGAGTGATGTGATCAGGGTCTGGCTGATTAACCGTGCCAGCTGCTCCACAGATCACTCTCTTAGATAGCAGTAATCACTGGCTTATTGATGCTAGTTGCACAGACGCACACCACCTCAAATGAATATGGGATTTCACACTACGGCACTTTTTAAAATTCCAAACCTCCTCAGACATGCCAACACGTGGGGCGGGGGTGGGGGGGGTTGAGGAGGGGGTAATGATGCCTGTCCTGAGGCAGAACACCCAGATCATAACAGCTGTTATTTCCTGCATTCTGCTGCATTCACACACGTCAAACTCCGCACTTACTCTACATTCACTGAATGCTAATATGATGTCGTACGATCTGAGCCTCATTACCATCATGGTAGAGGATTGAGTTTGAGATCTCAGAGCATTAAAAGATTCTCGATGTTTCCTTACGGCCATGTAAGATTATTGCATTGTTGTGTCAACGTAATAAATCCTTAAACATCGAAGGTGGGTGAAGCAATAGGATGCAATTGTGTGCAATTTTTTTTCCGCATCAGACAAAAAAAAAGGTTCTTAAACTCATGTACTGGCTTAAAGCTCTAGTTTAACCCTGATGTTTACTTGTCAGGTCTGCATTGTGCAAAAGAAGGACACGAAGAAGATGTACGCCATGAAGTACATGAACAAGCTCAAATGCGTAGAACGGAACGAAGTGAGGAACGTCCTGAAGGAGCTGCAGATCATGCAGAACCTTGAACACCCATTTCTAGTCAACTTCTGGTAAGCGGCCTCGCTTAAGTCTTACAAATCTGCACTGAAGTACTGATGTCATTACCTATTGGTCATACGGCCAAGGGGAAATGTCTACATTTTTATCAATCCCACAAAATGTAAAACCGTCAGCCAGCTGTCTGGACACAACATTTCTTCACCCCATCATCTCACCTCGTGGAGTCGCTAAAAGGAAAATCTAGTTTGCTTACTGATCCGAGTTCAAGGTTTATGAACACAGCTCCCGTTCTGTGCCTCAGTAGAATAGTTGTAGCTTTGGCACATTTGAGGCCAGTGAGAGGTTTTCACTGTCACTCTACCAGCTGCAACATTCAAGTTGACAGCCCTCACATGTCAACTCAGCTCTGACCCTGCACAGGTGACTTGTTTTCCCCTGAAAAAGCTCTGACATAGCCTTCGATTTTATTCTTAAAAATCAATTAGTTTGGACTCAAAAATGGAACAATAGAAAATGAAGAAAGGCGTGGGTTTGGAATAGAACCTGAGCCTGTTTGTTCCTGTGTGAAAGTTCTATCAGAGTGAAGTAAGATGACTTGCAGTGTAGCCTACTTCATATTTTTTAAAGATGCTGGAACTTTTCCGGTGTCTGATGAATGAGGCTTGTTAATTTTCTTACTGAAATATGTAACAAGAATTGATGTACGGCACAGAAACCTTGTTCTTTTCTAAAGATGCAGTTTCACCATTTGGAGGCTATTTTATTTTTTATTCTAAGAATAGACAAAAAAAATAAAGAAGTGCAGCAGGCATACACACATGGCAGCATTTTAAACAAAAGCTGGCATTGAACTTCTTTTATTTCTTTTTTTTTTCCCTTGATTGCTTGCTGTTTCGGACAGAAAGAGGTTGGAAGTTAATGCTTTTGGCCGCATTAAAACCCTCCGGTGGGGTTGATGTGGTGCTTTGGTCAGCTTGGTGCCTGCTTTCCCTATTTCTGTCTCCCTGTCCTTACTGTGTTGACTTGGCATACGTTGATTGTCCTGAGGTAAGCCCTGAAGGTCAGTGATGCCTGATGTTTAAGTGGTGCACTGAGCCAAAGCCCCACGTAGAAAACTAGTTCTGTTCTCCTCCGGTGGCCTTGTAAGCCTTCTGTTTTCTTTTGTCATCTTCTAAGACTCCTCCTATTAATCTCTGTGTCCTCTGTCCTTCTCCATTCCCATCACCACCCATGGGCACAGTGTGCTTAACCCAAAAACAAAAAAACTTTACCACCAAGTGATTTCTCTAGAAAGTCTGACTTTGTGGCACCCTAGCCTCGGGCATCAAATGTCCAGTTTATTGATGTGCCTGCACTGGTGGTCTGGCCCATTGTGCCAGCTCTGCACAATGCCCCACTATGGAGACCCTGTCTTGGCACAAAGACAGATCCTCTCACATAATCTGAGAGTCAGGTAGAGGACGTGAGAGAGCAGCTAACATTCAAATCCAATACTGAAGAAAACAGCTTAAAATGAGAGGTTTGTTAAACATAGAAGTTGAGTGCAGCTCTGAGTGCAGCTCAACGACCAGGAAGGAAATGCTATTTTTTTTATTAAACAATACAGGATGTCCTCAGTTTACGACAACCTTGACCTACGGCATTTCATGGTAACGTCGCCATCTCCCTTAAATGTATTAAGAAAGTCTTCCTCCATCATTCTCAATGGTTGTTTTGACTCATGGCAAAAATCAAGTTACATCAACTGTAGGAACAGAACTCCCCCTGTCTTCTGTTTGTATCACTGCAATTGATTTTAAATCTGTAGCTTACTGTACATGGCTTCCTTTTCATATTAACCAGTATGTGTTGACTTCACTGCATACACAGCATTACTTAGTTATATATGAAGATGTATTATTACCATTAGGCCCAGCTTTTACTATGCATTAGTGTCTGCCACTGGGTATGAAATCAAAGAAAATGAAGGTTTGATTTATGCCATCAGTGAAATGCAGCCCCCGTTACACTATTCAGCCCAAATGGATAGAAGACATTGGTTGTTTTTTTTTTTAACCCTGTGGCAGTAAATCCTGAAATGGAAAGTGATGGAATATTCTGCTGTGACTAAGCTACCAGGGAAAAACAGCCCCAAGACCCCCCCCCCCCCAAAAAAAAAAACAAAAACAAAAAACATGACTTAGAACATAAGTGAATCATCAGAGCATCTTTATCTGGATAGATACAGCTTTGGGCTTTTTATTCCCTTTTTCTTTTTACCTTTACACATCATCACAGTTCTTAGTTCAAGGATTTCTATAGGACCCTTCAACCATGAAGTCACACACGTCTAAATGGAGGGATGATGTAAGCTGCTTTTGTAACAAATGTTGAACTGCTTAGAGGAAAAACATGAAGTAGAGGTCTGAAGAGGCTTCACAGAAGCACTCTTCTACTCTGTTAATGTTCAGTCTTAGTGCATTTCTTTGTTTCCCCTCGTACAGTGTGAATAATAATGATATAATAGTGAAAGACACGTCGCACAGAGTAGCTGTTTAGAGGTGAAGTTCACACGTGCGTAGAGTTTGAATGTAGCTAGCTAAAATGAATCTAATTCCACGTACCAATAATATAAGACAGCCGTCGGCAACCATCACCAGTGTGTCATTCACAACAATACGTGAAATTTATATACCTGGAATTTTATTTCATCCAAAAACCCTTAAACGATCATATTTTAAAGATATGGTTTATTAATAGCAGGGGCTTTTAAATTATACATGGCTGCTATTTCAACACACTGAAAACAAATGGACTGGGAGGAAACGGCAAAAACAGAGACCAGAGTGGATCAGAACTGTATCATATCAGAATGAAGAAGCCACATCAACATTTTAAAGACATGGACCAACAGTAGGTGGCGCTACAACTAATGGACAGATGCCGACCAGTCAGTGTGATCCCCGGCCCATCTCTGCTTGGCTGAGCGTTATCTGGGTTAAACTACTGCAAAAACACAGAACTGGAACACCGGTACCTCCTCTTCTTTAGTGATGTTGCCTTTGTCACTGCATCTGAATCGAGGGTCTCTAGGAATGTGGGCAGAAGGTCGAACTGTCACTTAAACTCAAGAAACCCAGCCACAAGTAAAGCTGGGTTTGTTGTTAGTGGCAGGTTTTTAATAAGATCATAGAATGACAAAGGCGACCGACCCCCACCATACAGTAAGTAGTCCAAAATGCTCATAGTATTACGAATGTCTACATTTAAAGGTAGTTTGGTGTTATATTTGAAAAATGAAACAGCATCTTTGGCAACACTGCAGACATCACAGACCGTCCACAAAGCAGCAGCAGAAATACAAATTTGAAATGAAATGAAATTCAATTAATTGGATTTTTAAAATTTGAAAAGAAAATCTTCGCTCACCTGCTGAAAATGACTGCATTAATAATTCATGATCCACTCCACATATGCATAAATCAAAACCTTAGTAGGCCGTGTGTGTGTCTGTGTGTATTTTTCATGAGGAGCCATCTTTGCAATCTGCAGACAGTGTGGATGTAGTAGAGAGAGAAGTGAGCAGTCAGTCATGAGGTCAAAAACACGATGACATCAGTCTGTCAGAGCAGACACCAAGTCATCAGGACTTTCATTTACCCTTTTAACAGTCAAACACCAACCTGCTCAGATTCCTCACAGGGTCACGACTTCCTCGGTCCTCCTCTTATCTCAGCAGAAACACAACTCAAAATTTAAAAATCACAGTATCTTATATGTTTCCTTTCATTGCGTGGCCTTACGTGGTATGTATGGTAAGTGTTACCTTTGAAAGAGGGGGAAATGAAGTCTTTTCGGTGAGGGAGGACACCCTGCTATTACCCCTCCAGCCACAGTGGTTTCTGGAGACCTCCATTACTGAAGTGGCCTGTGGTGTCGTAGCCTCTAAAAGCTCCACGCAGGAAGCTCTCCCATCAGGCTGACTGCCTGGAGGCCACAGAGAGGTCACATTGTAATGCATGTGTGTCAAAGCAGAAAAAGACACACAAAAAAAGAGTGAAAAAAGGAACGAAGAGAGGAAAAAAGAGCCATGACGTACTTATCTCCAGCCCGGCTGCTCTTCATCAGCAGAGGCTGCTAATGGATGCTTGAGAACTTGTTTGTTCTCTTCTCTCGCTCGCCGTCTTTTTGGTGCTCACTGCAGATTTTTTTTTCCCACTACAGAAACATCTTAGTCACTGCACACTGAAAGAAAACTAATTCACACTAACACAGATACATTTACAAATTCATGCCCGTAGACTGTCTCGGTCAGAGAATTTTTTTTTTGGTCAGACATATCGCTTGTCAGAATGTCTCGGTCAGAGAATTTTTTTTTTTGGTCAGACATATCGCTTGTTCAAATACTCATTTATTCTAGTCAAACCTAAGAAGATGATCAATTAACTGTAGATTCAGACAGGTGGCGTTGTAACCAAGTCAGAGTGAGAGAAACAATGTTTTAATATTGTGGAATAGTATATATATATATAATTATAATTATAATATAATTATATATAATTCAGGTGTTGTAGATAAAAGTTGACAATTTCTTTGCATGAAATTTACAATACAATACGCTGAGGAAAGTTTTAGGGCTGTTTAATCCAAACAATACGGCAGTTTGCTCCAACAACAGCCTGCGGTAAAATGATGTCTGGTAGTTTTTCACCCAACAGTAATTCGATTGTTCAGTGTCTACAGCCAGATCAGGCTGCCGGCCCACTTTATGTTCATCACAAACCATGTCAGAGACTGTGCTGAGTTGTGTCTGAGGAGAAATCGTCCCAGACTCAATGATTGGCCAAAGACTGGAGTCAATTTGTTGAGGTGTTTTGGATAGAAAATACAGGTGCTTAAGGTAAACAGTAAAAAACAAACCCCAACGGTCTCGTATAAATCGGTTCTTTGGACAGAAGCATTTGTTGGCTTAAGTTTAGTTCAGGTTTAAATGGTATTTTCTGGTGTTTTACAGCAGTAACGCTTCTGTGAAGTTGTTTTTCTGCCTTTTCTTTTTTGTCCTCTCCCTTGTTATCGGTTCACGGTGGTAAGAACAAAGTATTAGGTCTTATTTCTAATTGATCCTGGATCTTGTTTTGCCTTATTCTGGCCATTGACCTCAACATTAATGCCTACAGTGTCAGTCGACTGTCAGCCGTGGACTCACTAACTGTCCCGCGCTCAGTGAAGCTGGTCTGACGCAAACCTGGCGTATGTTACTTCTATATTACAAAGAAGTAACTATAAGTAAGATTTTTCTTCATTTTCTTTTTATAGTATTTTTGTAAATGTTTTCTGACAGCAGCACATGGAATTCTTCTCACCCTACTGTTTGCTCTTATGTAGTGTTAGGTGATATTTACACAAATACCACAAATACGCTCTGGGAAACCAATGTACAGGGGGAGAGTGATGTCAGGGAGGAAAGTGGAGAAGAGAAAATGAGCCGTGAGGCGGCTTAATCAAGATTAATAGACTTGGGTTGAAATGGATTCCATCCAACTCTCAGTCTAAGCTCTGCAGGTCACATTTATAACCACTGAACGCCTGCTGTTCTAAACGCAGTATTGCAGTTTTCAGCAGGGCCTGGGGGTATATTAGGTTATCATGGTATGGGGTCATGAATAATTTAAAAACATTTGGCTGCATTAAGTATTTTGGAGTTACAAAAATGCATTGCAGCGAGTGACTCCTGTCTCCCACTTTATCATCAGTGCTGCCGATTGCTGATGATTTTCTCTGCAAGTGTTGGCTACTCCAGCCATGATGCCTATAATTGGTGCCATTTGTAGCAGAGTAGCTGTTAACACAATCATTATAATCCCCACCCAGACCGCCCCATTGAATGTCTGGCCAATTACAACCAGCAGGGTCCACATGTCAGAGGTTGTACCAACATTGGCTAAAAAATAAATAAACAAACAACGGTGGAAATAAACAGAAAAAAACAGGGCAGGTCCGTGTGAGTGCATGTGTGACTTTGTCAATGCATGCCTTTTCAGAACAGACGTGTCCTTGATAGTTTCTCCTCACTCAGAGCCAATCTCAGGTTAATGTTCTCAGCATTTTCTGAGCCTCAGCAGACAGCTTGGAGTCGGCTCAATCAATCACATTTCACTGTACGCAGAAAAACGACTTCGCAGATCCATTAGTGAGGGATTAGGCCACGAGAAACACTTTCAAATTCTCTGTCATTGGTGACAAAAGTGTAGCCACTGTGCTGAAATCACATAATACATGGGCTGACTCCACAGGGAGGACAAATATGGCATGTGACGTTGGACCGAGCAGGACTTAGAAACGAGCCAGAAAATCTTGGCCAGTGCATTTTTTAATTCCTCTCCATCTTTTGGACCAGCTTCGTGGTGGAAAAACTAATTAGCTCATTGTTTTTTGGTGGGGCGGGGGGGAGGGGAGTATCATTGAGTGGGGTGGGGGTAGTTGTGCAGCGGCTGGATGCTGAGCATGTTGAAATCAATGACGATTTGTGCAACAGCTTCTTAAATGGCAACACAGCCAGCTGCATACTGATAAACAATGGAAGTGTACGACCGACTGATGAACGGCAGCACGGCAACATCCTGCACACACTAGTGGAATACTGATAGTACACAGGTACAGTGTGTACTGAAACAGAATTAAGGTGAAGGTGGAACACTTCCCAAAGTTGAGGCTCAGTCTCAGAGGAGACGCCAGACTAACATGGAAGGTATAAAAATAGCATTGGTCCCATTTTAAAAGTGGTAAATAGTCTGATGGGAAACTTCTACCTGAAATCACAGAGTGATTCTTGATATAACAGCTACTACTGCAGATCCTAATGCCACCGATCCATGCAATGAGAGTTACAAATCGCCAATCAACAATTAAAAATATTTGTTAATGACGTATTTATTTACAATTATTTTATTATAATAATTTTAATGGTGACATAGGACAAAGGGTCAGGATATTCAGATCCTGACCCTTTGTCCTTAATACTACATCTCATGTTTCTGTAGTTTTGCAGGAGGTCTTCATATCCAGGTGAATAATCCAAACAGAAATGGGTAGAAGATGAACAGAAAACCTTCACGTTGCTGAAAGCATCAATCAAAAATATTCATATTTGTTTTTTTTACTTTTTAACTTTATTCCTGTAAGGGAAGATTTTTTTTCTTTTCACAGAGAACTTCTGACTGTCAGTCTGACAAATGGCTTTGTTGTATTTTGTCCCTTCTGTAATTTTTCATTACTGACTTGTCATTTGTCATTTGTGAATGTCATACAACATTGTCAATCTCCAGTTCACCCTGCTGGCTCTTCTTTAAAACTTCTTCAAGTTTCAAGTCTGTTTTTTTACCTTTATGTTTTAAATCTTTAACTCTTTTCCTCCCTGTCTCATCAGCCTCCAGGGTGATCTGACAAATATTTGGTTTCTTTTTGGGGTTCCTTCTGCAGGTATTCCTTCCAGGATGAGGAGGACATGTTCATGGTGGTAGACCTGCTCCTGGGAGGAGACCTGCGCTACCACCTCCAGCAGAACGTCCATTTCTCTGAGAGCATTGTCAAACTCTACGTCTGTGAACTAGCCTTGGCTCTTGGGTATCTTCGCTCTAAACGCATCATACACAGGTGAGACCTTTTGACTTTGGCGATTGAATTGGCGATAATAAATTAATATTAATATTGAAAATATATTCATATTATTAATGTTACTTAAAATTATTTTCTGCACTAGACTATACTACTACTATCTACTGCTATAATCTAAAATAATAATTATTTTATTTTAATATTCAGTGGCCTCAAATGGTTGGACTGTATTATTCATTTAAATCGATTGCTATTTTACTGCTGATGAGGGCAGACGTGCAGGTGTTGAAGATGTTTGTTTAGATGAAATCAACATCTTTTCAATCTGCATCCCCCGCCAACATACCCGTGGCTCATCTCTATGGAAATTGAATTTGTGAATCACTGACGTGGTCACGTTGACTTTGGAGCAAGGAGTGGAAAAGGCTAGAAACCCAACAAGAGGTCATGTGCGTATATATATGACCGTTGTGTCCATTTTAATTTGACTCATCTTGTTTAACTTTTTTTCCTTCATCAGCATAATTCTTTTTTAACTTATTTCAAATAATTGGATAAAAACAAAGCTGACCTGCCTAAATCAGGGAAAGGTTGAATGTGGTTTTTGCAGTGGTTAACAAAATATTAAAAGATTATGAATGAGTAACTTTTTAACAAGGAGTGAAGTTTAACAGAACTCTATATTCAGTGTTAGTTTTTACCACCGTGAGCAAATATGAGCATTCCCAGGAGAGCCAGAGTGGTTGTCAACAGTAGTTAGGTCAGTGTGATAGAGTCTGAATGGAAAATGTCGAAAAGGAAAATGTTATCAAGGGATAAACAGAAGGCTCTCAGCATCACTGTATGTGTATGGCTTAGCAAAATGTAATTGATCGGAGGTGACGATGTGACCTCTGGTCAATTGTTATTGTTTTCTCCAGTTCTCCAATGAAAAAAGGACAAGACATAGAGTTGTTAAGCTGTAAAAAGCAAACAATGACAACCAACCAACCGAATAATCAACGAACCGACCAAAAAAAAATCCAACTAACTAAAACAGTGCATTTGTGGTTCTCTGTCTTAGAAAACATTTTCATCTGGACCTGTGCAGATTGTTGTCTGTTTTTAATGTCAGTCAGCTGTGCCTCTGTGGTTTTTAACGCTCGCCTCCCTGTGGCCACGACAGTGGAATCAATTAGACGACGCCTTCAGAGGTTTCTCTAAACAGATGGAAACATGCGATGTTTCTTACATGCAATTGGAATGTGTTTGTCTGTGGTTGTGAGGCAGGTGCCTTGGTTTCTCTCAGCCCCGGTCTCATTGACATCAGCATCTGTTATCACTTATGACTGAACCCTCAGTAGATTTCTCTGCCCCTGGAGGTCTTACAGTGGAAAGACTGGTAAGGTCTTTTGGTACATCATGCCTAGTCCTTCTGGTTTCCACTCATGGTCCAAATCATTGTGTTAATGGGAAATTGACCTTAGCTACGGGTGTGAAATAATGTGGTCCTGAAACAAACCAAAAATCATCTATGGTTTTACATCTACTCTTGGAAGCATCCTTTTAGCCACTGACTCTCTTTGGCTTGTCCTGATCTATTTTTTATCCCACTTTTCTCTTCCCATGTTCACACACAGACAAAAGGAAAGTGAGTTTTATGTGGTTGTGGCAGAAACTGTGCTCCAAATAATTGATTTGCCTTATCATCCCTTACTCGTCGTCTGCTTATAGCTGCCAACAAAGCAATGCTCTTAATTAAGCTATCTGGTACAAATAAATGTGAAAGAATGGTCCCGGTGGGTTACTGTGATACTGAGTTAATGCTGCCGCACTGTGAGGAAGTCGTTACTTTGACTTTTTATCAGCCTAGTTTGTCAGGTCTTCAAGTTAGAAATTCTCGTATCCATAAAGTGTGTTAATGTTTTATTTTTATTTTTTTATTTTAAAAGAACCAAGAGTGAGCAGAGGAAAGGGAGATCCATTTTACACCCATATTTAATGAATGCAGATGAAGGCACCAGCTGAGGCCACCTCCTCCCTCTAGTCCACATTTCCTACCATTAAATTGGAAATGATCATGGCTGAAAATCTCCCACTGCTCCATACGGCCTGCACCACCACATCACTAACAGGGGAATGGAGGACTGGTTTTCCAGCACGTTTGCTCCACACAGATTTCTGGATGGGAAAGTTTAAATCACTCGCTTCTCTACAGCAGAGACCGAGCACAAGGGATTTGGCAGAGCAGTGGAGCAGTGGAGGAGTTGAGTTGATCAAACGGTGACTGAGAATCTAACAGCTACATAGGTGGTTTCTCATGCGAGTTTTTGGAACCACACAGCCTTCTTTTCTCTCCTCCACATTAAGCCAGACATTGTCCAAGATTTACATCCAAAGTGGTTCGAGAAATGATGGATAAACGCACACGCAGCCATCCAACAGAACTGCAGAGTAAGAATCCTTACGTTGTCGAAAATGTCTCCATTAATCATCAATCCAAAGTCAGTTGGAGCTTCTGCCTTTGAACCTGAACTTAAAGCCACAGAGAGTAATGATACCAACGAAAAAAATGCTGTTCTCTCCCTCTGTGTGTGTGTGTGTGTGTGTGTGTGTGAAGACATAATATTCTTTGAGTGTTTGATCTCTTGATCCTTTCTCATGGAAGTGAGACAGAATCTTTAATGGCTCCTCATTAAAATGCTCTGAGAAATAGAAGAGAACTTTGAAATAACTCTCTTTTAAACCTCAGTCAGAGTTGTAACAACCCAGGTGTGAGGGCAGGTCAGAAACTGGAACGTAAGTTGACAAATTGAAAAGAAATGTTCATTTTTATAACAATAGCAGCATATCCTATATATACATTTAAAGTATTTTTTTTATTAGGAAAGTATTTTAATTCTGGAGAAGGTTTTTGTCAAAAGGTCTCTGATTGGCCCGCCTGCAGTCCAGATTTTTACCCTATTCAAAATATGAGTGCACTATTCAGGGTCGGATAGAGGAAGTGTATCATTCTTTTTTTTCTCTTCAAAGTGTGTGGCCTTGTGGTCACTTGACCAGTGTGTTTCTCCGTATGTGTGTGTAAAAGAAAGAGAGAGAGGGAGAGAGAGAGAGAGAGCCTATCTCAGGTGTGCTGGCCGCTCCAGTGTCATGACGGTGTCGTATGTCCAGGTACAGGGCTCAGTTACTTCCCTGCCTTTGATAGAAGGCTGTAATGAGGCCATTAGATGCTGCTAATAGCTTGTTGGGTCAGTCAACCGAGAGAAAAGTCGAGGGGATCAATTTGCACTGATCTTTTCCAGACCTTCACCACCGTCCTTCCATTCTCACCACCTTCTGTCGTCTATCACTCACTTCTCCCCAGTCACTTTGCTTTTCACTCTCCTTTTTTTTAGCTCCTATAATATATATTTATTTTGTCTATTCAATATAGTACCAAAGCGACCTTTGACCCCACTTACTCTCCATAACCTGTCATTCCCAGGAGCTTTTTATCCTATGACGAATAAATAACTCAGTTCCCTTTTACCCTCTTGATCTCCCATCTCCACACATTCACCCCCCCACCCTCCTCCACCCCCTTCATATGAATTTTAAATATTTTATATTCTACTTTATATTCCCCTCATTTCCAATCGCTCTCTCTCCGATTTTCTCATTCCCTGTAAGATGCTTTTGATTACCATAAGGTCATTCTACTACAGTGAGAGAAGGGGGGAGAGAATGGGGGTGAGGACTCAGCAGTGGTCACAGTATGGATGAAAATGGGCAGAACCCAAAACCAAAGAAAAATGACATCTTTAACTATGGCGCCATCTATATGTATATATGGTATTGCAGGTTCAGAAACACTATATATATATAATTTATTTACATATATAGACGTTGATCATTTATATCTATACATGCATTGAAAGTGAATATTTTAGTTACTACTATAACATATAAACTATCATCAAGTTGATATAAATATTATAATACACACCTAATGACCAATCATGGTGATAGTCAGTGCTACAGAAGACTGACTGGGCAATTTGGCAAACGCAAACTGTTTACTTTCTGAGTCCAAACAGATACTTTTGCAAAACTGAAGTAACTTTACATCAACATGGTAAAAGACATTTTTGGCCCAGTCTTCAGTCCAGTTCTACTACACTTGTGTTTCAGCGTTGTAGTGCTATTTTGTTTCATCATTTGTCTCTACATAATTCCCCTTGTTATGTCATGAACTTCTTACTCACAAAGTTGACTTGGTAATTGCTGTACAAATGTCTGTATGTACGGTCTCCTCGTCTTTGCACCACTTCCTAATTAGACTCACTGCCCGGCCGTCTTTGTTCAGACTGCGGCCTCTTCTTGTTCTGCTGCTTACAAGTCGCTGCATGGCATTTAAATACTGTAGGCGTCGTTGTTCTCACTTAGCAAAGCTGCGCTTTGAGGCAAATGTCAGCTAATTAAGCTTTACACGACTGACCTTTCTCACCCCCCACCTGAGCCTGCACCACTGATCTGCATCGACCTCCCAGACCTGAGCTGTATGCTCTACTACAGGTGGTCTTTTTCTCTTTAAGTGTGGAAATACAAAAACACACACACACACAATTTGAAAAAAAAAATCCCAAGTCAGCTTGGCCTTTGATGTGTTAAAACAGCTGAGTTCCTACAGGGCGGCAGACGTAATTAGAGCAGACACTGGGTGTCAGCTGAGACTACCACAATATACTGTGTGTGTGTGTGTGTGTGTGTGAGTGTGTGTGTGTGTGCAGAGCACAGCTCCTTACTGTTGTCATGTCTTCTGACCTAACAAGCATTTATGTGTCCTGATGCAGAATGTGCACTTTTACCCTGGTTCACCTCAGACAGCACGTCAGAGAGTTCAAATAAATAACTGTCTTACATTTCTTTGAAGCACTTCAACTAAACAGGATCTAAACTGCTTTAAAATCCAGTCAAAAGGCAGTAAAACTCTAACCACGGAGATCGTCAGACTAATAAAAATTCATCATCTCATCAGTTCAGAGAAGTTGTCAGACTGTGTGAAGATCTGAGGGAACAGAGAGAGAATCCTGGAACACTTCGTACCTCGACTGTGTGTCGGCCTGCTGCCGCATTAAACATCACAAAGTCCTGACAACAGAAACAGTGCTTTTTACAGTCCATGTCCCAGGAACAGCTCAGTGTGTCAGGTTCTAGCACTGGCCAACATGTGTGTGTGTCTCAGCATTAAAGGAGTGTAAATTAAAAATATATAAATTCATACGGGCATATATTCTATATTTTTCATATATTTTTGATATAATAATAAACAACACATTGAATATGTGTTTTTTATTATTGTGTTTTTTATTAAAACATAAGGAAAAAACTTAATGTTCAAAAACACAGTATCAAATGCTCTTTGGTTAGTGTTCAGGGCTTATTGAGAGATGATCACAGGTTTGAATCCAGCAAGAAACAAAAATAAAAAATCTCTCCCTCCTTCATTGCTCCCCAAGAATGGGTTGAAGGAAGAAAACAAAAAAAGTTTTCATCTTCTTCTCTTATTGGTCCTACTCTTTATTTATTTTTGTTAATCAGTCCATTTATTCAAAAAACAGAAAACCCAACAGGTGGTGATAAATAAGTACAGGCCGTGGAGACAGCTTCATCTTACACCTGTCTCCCCTCTCCGGTGTCTCACCCTGTCCCACAGCTTTACCAGCTGCTCGGTGCAACTCCCACCATTCATTTTTGTTTTTTAAACTGTTTTAGAAAGACTGTGATATAGCTATTTTGACAGCCCCAATTAAAATATATATATTTTTATATATATATTTCTATACTTTATTCATATTTTGTTGTTTGGTTGTGTTTGTCATTTCAGAGACATCAAACCTGACAACATACTACTGGATGAGCATGGTAAGAAGCCCCTCTCTGTACTGCATGTTCTGTACTGTACTGTACTGTATTGTACTGTACTGTATGTAGTATAACTGCTTTGTTGGAGTGTTTTTTTGTAGTGTTGAAGGCTGCAATTAAAAAAAAAACTAAAATGAATTTACATGCAGACCTCACTTGACTCCACATCAAACATTCAAGTCTCGACTACTTCTGACTGAAGTTCCAATCAAACTCTGAACCTGTGGGAGTTCTCGCAGCAAACATCAAAGCAGCTCCAGCGCTCGGAGGCAGGATTCACGGTCGCTGCCTCGATGGGCCCTGAAGCAGAACGCAACCTTTATATTAATTTATTTTATAAAGGGAAGCAAGGAGACGGAGAGGAATCTTTTAGTCTGCCGTGGTTTCAGCACAGGGTGATGTGTTTTTGCACATCAATTTCTCTTTTTTCAATCAAATGGGTATTGAATGAACAGTATCAGTAGGAATATGGACCAGAACAACAATAGAGATGGAAGATATGGATCAAAACAAGGCTCGGGTTGTGTTAGCATACTGTTGATTTCTCAATTTATACAAATTCATTTACTGTAATTTAAGGCTTAACACTAGAATGAAAAGTCAAAAAGTCCAAGAACTGTGACACCTAAAAGACTTTTCTTTAGTTATCACAATTCAAAAAAAATGTTCTCAGGAAAATCTTTCTGTAAAGACTAACAAACCAGCAGTCCACAGACCAAGACAAGGAGGAGGAAACTGATGAGCTAACACTTCACAGGAGAGAAAATGTGTGTGTTTGGTTTTGTTTGTGAGTTTCGGTTTGTGTGTGTGTGCGCGTGTGAACATTATTTCAAACTCTACAAGCTTTGCTCCTCCTGCCCACGCTGACGGAGGGCAATTAGGTTCTGCGCACTTTGTCGATTTTGCAACCTGGAATAGCCTTGTGTTCCTCTGGGAGCTGTTTCATCTCCAGAAGAACAATTTACTGCACAGATGTGAGAATTTACTTTTTATAAAAAGAGATGCCTTTTATGTTAAGTTTTTTTTTGTTTTGTTTTTTGAGGAAATGTCCCATTAGAGCAGCCGTTGTTGTTGTGATAAAAGCAACAGAAGTAACTTTCAGTAATTTCAAACAGAACAATCTCTTTGGGTTTCTTGTCACTACTATGATATACAAATGTCACATTATAGCTGTTCAACAGTTATACACCTGGATAAGTAGCATTAGCATTAGCAGGGCATATCCACTGGATTATTAATATGGAAACAAGGATCTGAGAGAAGGAAAATAGATATTTATAGCTGAATATGTTGTAACAAAACTAGTGACATAATTAAACCTAACTAAATGAACTTAGTTTTACAGAAGGCTTCAGAACTGAAGGCTGCCTACAAAAAAACATTTGAGTGGTTTACATAGCATGAATTTTGGGCAGAATTTTCTAAACAATCTTAATTTTTTAAAAACAACTTTTTGTCTAGGCCCTGAATCTATCATCATGTAGTGGTTGTATGCTCCATCCGTTTTCTCTACTCCCATCCTAAATATGTCTAAGTCTGAGACAAAGGAGAGAGAGAGAGAGAGAGAGACTAAAGAGGATATGATTCTTTTTTATACCCAGCTTTGTTCTGGGGCTTATCTTTCAGCCACAGTGTCTTTGAATAAACAACTGTTCTTTGTTCACTCCTACCACTATTTCTAAATATGCAAAGAATACATTTTAATTTTATGTACAATATGACGTGCTGACTTACTGTGAGAGTCTGTGTCAGTGGGGTTGTTTTTTGGGGGGAGGTGGGGCAAATCCTTTCATGCAAGCAATCACTGCGGCAAAAAGTCTCCTCTTCTGTTTCGTTCTCTCAGTCTGACAAAGACACACACACACACACACACCTCATTAGTGTGTGCTCACCGTGCATGGCAAAGATTCTGGGCCATCCTGCAGCACGGTGAGACACAGGTCAGCGATTTGACTTTGAAAAAGACCCAGTCTGTTCCTCTACCTCTGTCACAGCGTCAGGACATCCCTGCAGCCGCCTCTCCTTTGATTAGAGTGATAAAAAAAAAAAACCTTCTACAAGTAGTACTATATTACTGCGATTATTGTTTTACCATTGGCAGTAAACAGTACAAATACTGTAAGATGTTTGAAAGCATCTGTAACATTGTGGTATTTTCCAGGCCACGTCCATCTCACTGACTTCAACATTGCAGCGATTGTCAAAGAGGACCTGAAGGCCACGTCCATCGCTGGGACCAAGCCGTACATGGGTGAGAAATGTTTGATCAGGGCTAGGGCTCCGATTAGATGAAACATTCAAGTCCAACACCAGGATCAGCTGCCTACAAATACACAATATCACAACAAAGGGCAAAAGTAGACTGTGGTCACACTCACTGTTTGTATCTGTCTTATTACTGCAGCATTATTAACTGTAAAACTGCATTTATATAACGGCTAAAACGATTAAACACAGCGTAGTATATGGAATATTTACTAAATAAAACACAGAAACAAGTTTTGGGTTTTTTGTCTTTTTTAGCCCATCTTTATTTATATTCCTCACAGCTCTGCCTTTTTTCTTTTTTAGCCCAGCTTTATTTATATTCCTCACAGCTCTGCCTACATGCAGTGATTGATTTGATTTCAAGTAGAACAAACAGGAGGTAACATGAGTCTGCGGAGCTAAGATTTATGAGCTCTTAGATTTTGTTTAATTTGATTTCCAAACACACACACACACGAGTAGATTTGGTCCATTTCCTGTACTGTACTGTATGTGCGGTTTCTGCTCTTTTGTATTTTGTGAATACAGATTTTTATGCCCTCAGTCCTCAATTACAGGGACCCAGTCCTCCCAGTCAGACGGAGACAAATGTGTGATTTAGCATGTCCCGCTTTTTTTTTTATTGTTTTTACTGGATGAGTCATGAAAATAAATTTCCAGCATTTGGAACAAGATTACAGCTCTTTTGCCATGATAGAAGATTAAATTTCAGTGAGTGAATATTTAGAAAAATAATAAGGATTTGGACGTTTGGACACACCCAGGAGCTGATTCATCAATTACTACAAAAATTGCTATTGAGGCAATTCACACAAAGCAATACATGCAGAAAGATGATTTATTTCCTCATAATTGCAGGATAATGTTTTAATTATTTCCACTCAGCTCACAGTATGCAGCTAGTAATTATAAATTAATTAAATTTTTAATTAAAAATTAATTAATTTTGAATGATATAACAAGCACATCACCAAAAGTTAAATAGGGTGAAGAATTAAAAAAAAAAAAGATTAAACATAAAAAACCCACATTTCTCCACATGCATTTTCAAAGGTCATTGACTGGAGAACAAATCACAGATCAGTGCCAGATAATCTAAAAAGTTTCCAGTGGAACAGAGAGGTCATCTGGGTAGACCCTGTATAGATCACTGAGTATATTTAAATGTGTCTAAAGTTGGTCTTCTGTGAAATCTATCAGGCTCTGAAGAAAAGAAATGATGTTTTTCTCTGACATTTTCCAGATTTGTTTTCCTTGTTTCTATCAATCTAGCTCCGGAGCTTTTCCAAACATTCGAGGGCGCCCACCCCGGCTACTCCTTCTCTGTGGACTGGTGGTCACTGGGCATCACTGCGTACGAGCTCCTGAGAGGACAGGTAATGGACAGTGAGTGTAGTGTCAGCGTGTCCACGTCTCTGCACTAACATCAGTGTGACCCGCTGCACTCCACTCTAGTGAATAATACATGTGACACATCCAATCGGGTGCTGGGAAACTTCTATCAGAGCAAAAACAGAAAAACAGCCAAGCCTCCAGGCTGGACAGAGCAGAACAACAGGAGGGTGACGCTGTAAATGAATTTTACATCTAGGTCATGGGTTGGGTTGAATCAATGCCTATGTTGTTGTAATTGAATTCTGGAAAATATTAATAATTAAGTTTCCTTCAAAGGCGTGTGGTTCTAGAGCCAAAGGAAGAAAATAGCATTAGTTCGTGAGCTTTAGTTTGGAGGGCTGTGCATTGTCGGACTCTAGGAGCCATAACACATCTTATATTTCAGCATGATGATGATCCTGCATTCTACCTCAACCTCCGACTGACAAGGACAGACGACTCGTGAAACTGATCTGGAGCTGATTAAAAATCACCCTGACGTCATTTCCTACACTATTTCACAAATAACCTTTCTAAACTGCCAGCTGTTCAGAAAAGATGATTCAGAACTTGGTCCAATCACAGGGCTCAGGTCTTAATTGTCAAGCACTCTTCAACCATCGACACAATCAGAGTTGCTGTAAAGCAAGAAAAGATTGACGTAAAAAAAAATCACTTCAAGTTGTCTCAAATCTCACATCAGCCTTGGTTATTCTGCGTAACGCTGCTATTTTTTACCCTGGTTTTCTTTTTACTTCTTTTACTGTATAATAATAATATACTGCAAACAGCTAGTACAATTTTGACTGTAATCTTAAATGCCCAAATAAAGCATTTTAATAATTAAAAAAATAGCAGGTCAAGAGCAAAATTATTATTGACATAATAATAGTCACGGACCAGGTTTTTACAGGCTAAAAAAAGAGGCCCCGGGCCAGGAGTTTGACACCCCTGCCCTTTTTGTTTGTTTTTCTTCTTTCGCTGAAGGCCATATTTAAACTCTGTTGATGCAGCGTAAAGCATGATATGTATGCTGTAGTCACAACTCCTTGATGTCTAGAATTTTTCCGGTGTCAGCACCATTCTTTACAACTCCAGGGAGCTTTTCATCCGTTCTCTGTGCTTCACGTTGTCTTTTTCTCTTTGCTAAGCATCACCACAGTCATCACTACAGCCTTCTTCTGCCAACCCTCACAGCTTTCTGTCTGGACACTGTCAGTACACTCCAGCTGAATTTCACTGCTCGCATCCACCCCTGCTTTTAAACCCTTTTGCATCATCTCTGACTT